TATTATTTGAGTTGTGCCTTGTAATTTACTTGAGAAATGTAGTAAGTGAGTGAGTCCCGACGAGAGTTGGACAGGCGGTCCGCCGAACCCTTGGTTCGCCTTAGGGGGAGGTGGGGCCGTCACACCCCTCCTTATTTGTTTATTTATATTAACAAAATAAAGGGTCAGCATCCCTTCCTCGTGTATGGGGTTTGCCAAAAAAGAGAAAAGAAGAACAAGAAGATGAGGAAGAGTTTCATATTTTTGTTTATGAAAAGAAAAATATAGATAGAGAAATTACAAAAAAAAAAAGAGAGCAGTATAGAGATAATTTAAAAAGAAGAGAAAAAAAAGTTTTAGATTTGTGTTTATACAAAGTTAAAAAAAAAGAAAGAGAAAGAAAAACAAGAAAAGTTTCATATTTGTGTGTATAAAAGGAAAAAAAAAAGGGAGAGAGGAATTAAAAATGGAGTAGTATAGAGAGAGTTTAAAGAAGAAAAGTAAGCAAATTTCATATTTTTGTGTGGAAAGTAAAAGACTAACAAAAAGAAAACTAGAAAGAGAAAGAAAAGTTTCGTAATTATGTGTATAAAGACCAAAATAATGACTTGAAAGAGAAATTAAAAAAGAAGACAAGGGCTAGTAGGAAAAAAAAAGAAGCAAGAGAATTTAGAAGAACACTAGTTTGAACACTATTAATATTTGGTTTAGTGAAAAATAACTTCAACTACTTATTAAGTTGGTAGAAAATCAATTCATGCTATTACTTTCTTTTGTTAAAGAATTTTATAGCACAAAACTTGAGAACAATTGCCATATTTCTACCTTGTACTAGCATGGACTGGCTGTGCGGCCCACCGAATGATGATGCATTTGGAGTTTTGGAATTGGTTATGCAATGAGTTGTGTTCTTAAACTTTTAGTTATATTTCTAATAGATGAGAAATAAATCACGATTCAATGATGAGCAACAAACCAAGTAAAGAATAAAACAAGGAAAAACACATATACCAATTGCATATCTGTTAAATTTTCAATGTGGATCGTTGCATATCCCTTATATATAAATTGTTGTTTTAGAGTTATAATTAACATCAAACTTATGCTTAAACTAATAAATGTTGATTTTTTTAGTTTTATAAAGTGAAGTACGTAGTATTTCACATTAGGATAGAATTTTAGAAATTTGAAGGAAGAGATGTATATAAATATGTGAATTTTGTAAATGCTAAGGGTCTAATGTAACAGAACTTTACAAAATTATCGATATGAAGGGAGCAAATAAGTGTTTTTAAGAAATTGAGAAGGGACAAACAAAATGTAAAAGTGAAAAACACTACAAAATTATACTATGAGTCTTTTCTATAATTTCATACTATTTGAGGGGGAACAATTGCCTAACCTTAAGTGCATGTGGTCAAAGTAACAAGTACAAAAATTGATTGGTAATTATTCATGAAGATTAATTACTAATTAAAATAATAAATTATAAATTTCAGTCTTGCTACCAGGATATATTCTTTTATGACATTGAGATTTGTATGTTAGAAATTTGATTAAATCTAAGGTAACAGTATATTGGCATGGCATATTAGGCAGATCGATATATTATCGCAGGAATGATAATTAACAAGAAAATATCATAAACTATTTATCTAAGTTTATATGTAATAACATAGAAGTGGATTAATATTTTGAGGCATTAGATCTCTTGTCACTACTTAAGTAGATATTGAGCGGGTAGAAACTCTCTAGTCAAAGCCATTTCACAAACACCGAATCCAAATGTGGCAAAATCACATATACCGAATCTAGTTGGCTGGTCCAACATCTCTTATAGCATAAGTGCAACAAAGAAAAAAAAAAGATAATCAAGGAATAAAGTATACTTAACTACTGCACTATACTTAACCACAGGCACATCTCAGAAGGGAAAAACTCTTATGGCAAATCCACAAAGAACAACAACATTATTGGTGGCAAAATTGAAATTTGATACAATAGACAACACAGTAGGAGGGAAAAACTCTTGCAAAGAGTAAACAACAAACAACAACATTACTATAATCAAAACTAAAATCCAATACAATTAAACATCTATAAAAAACAAAAAGTGGAAAATTAAAAGCCAAACCTATCAGATATACCTGTCTCAGCAAATTTCTGACGAATCTTTGCTCTAAGAAGCTCTAAAACTATTTCCACAAATATACCATTAAAGAAAAAGTTTAAATTCTGGCTATAAGGAATTAAACTAACAATGCATTAACAAGAAACAACAAACTACTGAATTCCTAATAGCTAACATTTAATCAAAATCACCAATTTCCTTGTAATCTTTGAAAGCAAAATTAAAGATGGAACCAACCTGAATTGGAACCACACATAATGCTTGGAGGAAGAATATTGCAATGAGTCCTTTACATAGCCTTCTAATACATACGAAAGATTAAAAAACACCAAAAGAATCTGAAACCATAGAAATTAAAAAAACCCAAATGGAAGAATGCATACAATTAAACCTTCAACCCATGTTGTAAGAGTGAGATAGCCATTACCAAAGCATAATTCAATCTTGATTTCAATACCCACAAACTCAACTCATTTAATGTAAGGGTTAAATGTGTCAATAGGAAATTACTAAAAGCTGTATGTATTTGCACCATATGCATCACTAATTTCAACTAAGCAGTAATATTACTAAAACAACCCTCCATGGTTAAACATATACGAAAGGCACATGTCTCACCGAACGGTTAATTGCATATGACAATTGTTGGTGAAGGTAGTGTTAAAACTACAAACCAATCAAAGAATGCCAAAAAGTTGTCCACATGGCACTTCTTGGTGAACGTATTCTTAGGTTTTTATATAGAAGTTATTAGATCTAAGAAAGAATTGAGATTTAGTGTTTTGTCTCTTCTCTTGCCACGTAGCTTCCTTAATATTTGAAAAGTGGCATGCTTCTAGCTCAAATATTTCTTGCAAATTGCCGTTGAAGCCTTTTCTTTCTTTTCCCGTTGAAACCCTTTCTTTCTTTATACCAACCGAAACAAATTTGTGCCTTTTGAAACAAGTAGGTGAACTACTCTTGCATAAACTTGCCCATGTTTTTCTCTTGCTTCAATGTCAAATCAACCCATTTCTACTTTGATTTCATGTTGCAGGAATTGTTGGTTACTCACATGAAAATTGTACTTCAAAGGAGGGAACTCTTTGCCGAAACAATCAATGATTTTCCCCTCAAATCATGTTTTGCTATTCGATTCTCATCAATTGTACGGTTCCCCATCTCACAACCATGGGATCCTTGCATAAAAAATATCTTTTCAGATATGATTTTTCCCTTATTCCAATTCTGATGAGGAATAGGTTTCCCAGTCATTTAGACTTTTGCTTTTCCATAAAATTATGCAATCAAAAATAGAATAGAGGCATTTGTCAGTGCATGGTATTGTCTCCTCTACCTTATGAACTGAGCTTTCTAACTGGGGAGAAATTGTTGCAAGAAGAAGCATCCGGCTCCTTATACCTTGTTCTTTGGAGTCTCTTTGATGAGAAAAAATCTTTCATTTTTTTGTCAAATTTTACACGTATGAATAATAGACAAATTACCAAATTATAATATACACATATGCTGCAATTGATAGATTCCTTTTCCTACGATTCATATCATCAGTGAAGGAATCATTTAACTTGAAGGTGACTTTGTCCTATTTCTTGAACATATGAGCAGCTTCTCTTCACTATGTTTTATTGGGATTTGTTTATGTGACTATATTTTCTTAGGCAAAATTTCAGCTTTTCCTTTTCTTTTTAGTAGTTTTTCTTCAATTTCTACTTCATTTATTTTAAGTTTGCTGCTGCTATTTGTTTTGTATGATCCTGCTATTATTTTAAGTTTACTGTGTTCTCTGAAGCACAATTCTTGTCTTTACTCCGTATTAGTAACTAAAATAATACTCACTGAATGAGGCTAATTTTTTTTATTAACGATTCAAGGTTTGATACTTGACACCAAGGTTAGTTGTCCAATAATAAAAGTGAAGATTAGGGAATCTAATATAGTTTCTAATATTGGCAAAAGATAAGCACGTAATCTGTTTGTTGTCAGAAAAGTAACAAAAGAATTTACTTATTGCACTTGAAACTTGGCCAAGAACTTCAAAAAGGAGAAAAAAATTTGGCCAATAACTGAGATCACAATATCAGACAAACTTCTCAAAAGAATGAGAGGCATTTTTAGATTATACTCGACCCTTTTCCCTACACCAAGCTCATGTACAGTTCCACTCTAAGGATGAGAGGTACTCAAGAACAATGATTCATTTGAAGAGAAACAATAAGAGTTTCATGAGAATGATAAGATCCTGCTGTAGTTCCATTTCCATAGTGAATATCAATGTCGACAATAGCAACCTTTCGGCAGCCTGAATCTAAAGCCAATACCAATATACCAGATTTACTGCATTGAGGGCAAGAGAATGTCGCATGAGATTCCTATTTAAACATAAAAAATGTTCTCACTGATGTTCTAGTTTCTATGGGTCCCTATTTGGATATAAACTCTGGTCTGACTATGAAAAAATGTAGTGAATGTAATCATTAGAATGACTATGTAAAAAAACAAAGATAAAGTAGGAAAAGTATTAATAATTTGTCTTTGCTTGAAATTAGTGGTATATTCTTTAGTTAAATGTTTTTTTTTTGTTTAAAGTGCTTGGCTGCTCTCTATAACTTAGTTTTTTGGTGACTTTGATCAAATCATGTATCCATTTGGTTTTAGCTTTGTTGTATAGTTGGTTAGTACTCAGCCATTTGTCTTATTTTGTTTGGATGAACAATGTCAGATGACCGTCTATTATGGCACAAACATAAATTTTGTTCACCCTACCATAATATGTAGTGAAGTTCAGGCTTACATTGAGGTTCAATTAAGAAACTATGATTCTATTTTGTGGATGAATACATCCTTGTTTTTTATATGAAAGCCATTAACTGGAAGGCTAGTAAATAGAGGCATGTCAACTACTTTTAAAATTACTGATATGTTAATTGAATTTGTTTGTATTGGGTGGACAACGCTTGTGCAAGTTGTTGAGAAATCACAGGTGTTGACCAACAATGGATCAGTGCCTGTGAGATTTCAGTGTTTCGTCTTGACAGATTCTGAGGTAATATAAACTGAAGCTAATCTTAGCAATTTATTGTTTCCTAAATCATCAAGATGTCCAGATTGTTAATTTCCCTTTGTACAATTTAATTTCAAACTAATTACTTTTAAATACTTGTTTATTTTTATGTTTCTTGGGTAATCTCGTTTCATTAGAACTTAAAATAGCAACACTTGCAAATTGATAGTGAAGTTTTGATTTAGCTTACATGGTTTTTCCCTACAATATTACAAGGTTTATTATTAGCCAATGATACATGTGTAATCATTATAACTTTCTGCATGAGAGATCATATATAGTGATTGGAAAATGTTATAGCTTGGGTGCATTTGGGTGACTCTATTTACATTCAACGGTTGAAACAAAGTATAGAGGACTTACGGAAATTTCATTGCTTACCTCCCAAAAAATGAACTTTCACGGAGCAAAAAAATCTAAAAAATCCCTGCTACTAACGTGGCCAATAGCTACTGAAGAATCTGTTCATCACAATTTGGAATAGGGCTACGAGTTAATTGAGTTGAGCCTAATCAAATTCGCAGTGTAAATAAAACCTCTATTTTAGCTTAATTTTCTATATATTGAAAACATTAAGTTTGATACAATTTGTAATTATAAATTTGTTCAACATATCAAATAAATTTAAGGGAATTGAAATGGCACTCCAACGTAGATTTTGTTAGGTTTTATATACTTGTACATGAGATCCTCTTAATTTCATGGAAATTTTTCGTACTTCTAATCCTTCAAAACTAGCGTGTTTTCTCCTATTACACATCCCTATATCTAAAAGTATTAGCTGAGTTAAGGAAAATTAAAGTAAAAATAGTAGTTTCTTGACATCATTAATTGCTTCTGTGACAAACCTAAGGGCAATTTACAGCTGATATTAATGAAATTTGCCTGCTTCCAAAGAATTGTTGTTTAGTTGTCTAATTCTTTTCTGGTTTTTCTACCATTTTTCTTTATACATATCTTTGGTTATTCTTATTGATCGACTTTTTGCAACTCAAACATTGCTATTATATGTTTTCTCCCCCCTTCCCCCCTCCCAAAAAAAAAAAAAAAAACTCTACACGTTTGCTGTTGTATATTTCTCACCTTGAATGTTCTACTTTAGCCTTTTGGTTAATATTGCCTAACTTGGTTCTTTCTGTGAACAAGGGACTAAGGTTTCAGTAGTCATTTATGGGAATGACATTCGCTATTTTGCTAATCTACTGCAGCCATTTAGGCCATACATCAATGGTAGGACTGTCAAAAAAGGGGATCCAAAGTATAAAATTAGTGACTATCAATTCTCATGGGTGATCCATAACAAGACATTAGTTGAAGAGTATGTGGAGCCAAATCCACCAATGCTACCATGCACTTTTGAATTCACCAAATTTGAGGACCTCTTTAAGTTCATAGACATGGAAAATTTTCAGAGTAAGTGATATCCATGCTTTACTAATTGAAATATAAATTCATTTTCATCTTTCCTTTAATTATTGAAACACAGCTAACCTCTTCTTTAATTATTGAAACACAGCTAACCTCTTCTCTTTTCGTTTGTACAAAGATTTACAGGATGTTACTGTCAATGCATTTGTGACAAAAGAAGAGAATAATGTCTCTATAACAAGAGACTTCTTTGTTGTGAATCAAGAGTTAGTTATATAAACCTTACTTTTAATATTTCTATCTAATGCATAAATTGTTGCATTCACTTTCTTCCCCTTTTTCCCATTCTTTATAAAGGAAAAAACCAATGCTTCTTACTCTTTGGAATGAGTTTGAACAAAATCAAGGAACACAACTTGCAAACAGCATTGGGAATGCCAACATTATTATTGGCATGAAGCTGAAAATCACAACTTCTAATTGTAAGTGAAGTTAATATACTTTTAACACCTCATACTTCCATGACAGTCAACCACTTTGAATAACTTAGCCAATCACTGTCCTGAAAATTGCTCTGTTACTTAACATAAACTATTAATTTTATTGTTAGACTTATCCCTAACAACCAAGCCTGGGGGTGGCCTTCTAATTAATCCTACTACTCCTGAAACAAATGCACCCAAGGAATGGTACGTATATTCTATGACCACACATACTTTTTGTCCAACTCTTCCAGATCCCTTTGATATCTTATGGTCTACTGCATTGATTTTTGGGATAGGTATAATGTAAATAAAGAAGAAATTGCAGAATTGATTCAACAAATGGCATACCAAGATTCATCTAGGCAGCTCCCACCTCCAAGTGCTAATGATGTGATCAGTGTAGCCAATGCACTTAACACACTCAAAGATGTAACTTTCTTTTTTATTTATGACCTGATTTATATATTTTAGCTATCCAAAAAAATGCAAAATTTAGGTGTTCTTCTTTCTATTTGAAAAAAAATCTATTATGTCAAAACAACTTGGATAACGAGGAAAACAAGGTTGACCCCTGAACAGCAAAAATTCTGGTTTGAAGCACGTGAGAGCTGCCAAAAGGCTATTAATGTTGATGTGGGATGGGTTATAAGATACCCATCTTGCAAAGAAGAGAGCAAAGTTGTAGCAAGGTAATTACCAAATTAAGTTTCACTCTCCTATAATAAAAAATTAGAATATACTGTTTTATTCTCAATGTGTATTAGGACCGGAACTGGAATTGCTGTGGATGATGGTACAAGCTCCATAAACACTATTATCTTTGGGTTTGATACTGAGAAACTTATACCATTTATAGCTTTTCGATTTTGGGAAGCTCATAATGAGGTAAGCTAACAATCATGGCAACGAAAATTTCTGCTACAAGTTTAGCTCTTGCATGATGATACAACTACTAGCTTAATACGTCTTGCTTAATATTGTCGATTCTTTTTTTTTTTTGCTTCATAGACTTCATCCATTCTTGTTTAAAATGCTTGTGTTGTGAAACTCCAGCCTTCATGAATATTGTCAAACAAGAAATAATCACAACCAATAGGTTTATCGCATTTAGCTAATAATGACCAAGTAACAAACTAAAAGCTAGGTTGGGACTAACTTTATCAACAAACTATGAGTATTTGTTCTTATATCATTGTTTGAGGATTAGACCAAGTGACAATTAACTAATATTTTGGTTTTTATGCACCTTTGCTTGGGTATAAATACTGCTCTCACTATGTAAAAGTGTAGTGACTATAATCATTAGAATGACTATGTACAAAATAAAAAAAGGATCAAGTATGAAAAATATTAATGATTTGTTTGTGCTTGAAATTAGTAGTAAATTGTGTGTTTAGTTGAAGATTTTTTTGCAGAAAAAGAAAGCTCTTCGCTGCTGTTTATGACTTAGTTTATTCCCCAACTTTAATCAAACGATATATCCATTTGGTTTTAGCTTTGTTTTAGAGTTGCTTCATTTGTCCTATACTATTTTTCCAAGACCAAGACAAATAGAATGAATGCTCAACATTAGGCCATAATCAACAAACTATGAGTATCTGTTCTTAAATCATTATTTGAGTATTTGACCAAGTGACTAGTAACTAATATTATAGTTTTTATGCACCTTTGCTTGGGTATAAAAACTATTCTCACTATGTAAAAATGTAGTGACTATAATCATTAGAATGACTATGTACAAAATAAAAAAGGATCGAGCACGAAAAATATTAATGATTTGTTTGTACTTGAAATTACTAGTAAATTGTGTGTTTAGTTGAAGATTTTTGTTGCAGAAAAAGAAAGTTCTTCACTGCTCTTTATGACTTAGTTTATTCCGCAACTTTAATCAAACGATATATCCATTTGGTTTTAGCTTTGTTTTAGAGTTACTTCATTTGTCTTATACTATTTTTTCGGACCAGGACAAATAGAATGAATGCTCAACATTGGGCCATTGCACTTTTTTTTCCCTCCATAACTTGTGATTGTGATCCAATTCTTTTTACAAAATATGAAATTACTCACAATTTCCATATCATTGCCCAAGTCTTTTCCCAATTACAATCTACAACAAGAACTTCCACTTCCAAACAAATAGCTACTATTTCAGGATATTCTTAATAATTATTTATGCTTTAAAACAAAAAATTGCAGGGGCTTAACTTTTCTCTTGAACTAGCATCTGCAATCGAAAAATATTCGATTATGTGTTTTCATACGCTACCATGAGGTAGATTATCAAGGCCAGAAGGAAGGCAAGTATAATATTGTCAAGGCATATAGTATTGAGAAATTAGCTCACGTTCCAATGGCAATCACGACAACAGAAACGAATGAAAAAAATTCTAGATCTTCATGCTATTGTCCTGCAGTATGAAAGAAGAATGAATTTTTCAGTCCATCAACCAAAAAATTGCTTGATACCAATGATAAATCTTCTGCTACTACAACCAAAATGCCGCATCCAGTGACCACAGCAAAGAGAGCCTTGGTTTTTGGAACTCCGACAACTGAAATTGGTTCGAATTCTGCTGAACCTAATACACCTGCCTCTCTATCCACCAATGCACCCTCAACTTTCGCTCCAACTAATCTTGCACCTAAAGGTCCTTTGAAGTAGCAACGTGATGACGAACTCTGAACTTGCTTGAAGCTTTTTCATTAATAATTAGTTAGCGCTTTATAGCTGAATTCTTGCATCTTTTGACACAATATGGCATCCATTAAGAATCTGTTCTGTTGCACAACTTAATGGATCTCAATATATGATATTTTGTAATTGTAACTTATCATTGCACTTTATATTAGGCAATCAGCATGTCATTTCCCGTCTCTATAAGACTAACTTTCACTTGAAGACATAAAACTATTTGTAAAACTACTTGCCAATCTTTTGTTATCTCCTTTTATCATTTGCAATGCTGATGGTTTTCTGGTTTTGTTTAGTCTTATATTCTTAAGTACATGCTTGATTGGTAATTTATGATTTTAGGAATGCTATTTCACAAACATTACTGTTAATCTTATATAAAAAAAATATAGCAACAGATTTTTATTCACTCTAAATAGAGGAAAAAATATCTTTCTATTCATTTGATTTGGTCGTTATAGGGGACCTAGGCTGTGCTTAGCACAACTGAGAACCTCCTAGCATAGTTGATAAGGAGAAAGTGGAGTTACTATAACAACCCTAATAATTGCCAAGTGGCTTTCTCTCATTTTGACATGCGGCACATTTCTCTCTTGAGAAAGCTATCTTCATTTTTGCTTTTCTTCTTTTTGCTTTTTACTATCACCTTATTTCATTTCTCCTTTCTAGCTAAAAACAATTAAACAAACCCCATTTACATTGCAGCTTCTTCATTTAGTTTCCACTTTGTACTCCTTTTTTTCCTTCATCCTAATCGTTTACTCTACTTTATTTTCTCTATTGGATTAGTTGATGAATTTTTTTACCATTTTGTCCATATATAACTAAATAAATGGTTTCGTTGCAGAAGTTCAAGAAAGGGTTTTACATTTCCTTTCTTGCTTAGTCCAGTAATCATGATTTATGATCTTCTGCTCTTACCTTCTCTCTTTGGTATGTACTATTTAATATTTTTTTGTCATTTTTTGCCTCCTGATTAGAACCTTTGATCATTCCTTCTTGCTATTTCCTCCTTCTTCTGACTTTCTTTTTCCCCCTAAAAAAGGCAAGTTGAAGTTTACATGTAATGCTGTGAATACTTTTTCCCCCAATATCTAAAGAAACGTGTTTTTTTAGTTTTTATAAACTTTTATTTATTCTGATATTACTTTTTGGTCTTTTTTATATTTTGAAAAAATTCCCTAATGCTGAAAAGAGGACTAGTGGTGATTACATGAAGAATCTTCAAGCTGACAATGAAAGAATTATAACTACCTTTTCCCCATAAAATAATAAACGCCATTATACAAATACCTTCCAATTTTAATTTTTTATTTATTAAAATTGTTATTTGATAATAGGATGATAGTGCTAGAGTGGAGGAGGAAGAATTCGACAAGTGAAGGTCCAGGATAAATAATGATCAAGAAAAAAATGGTGAGGTTTGTTGAATTAAAAATTAATCAAAGTCTTTTAATTTATGGATAGATAATTATATTTTGATATTTTGATTTATATAAAGTTTCTTAATATTGAAATGTGCTTATTTATTAGATAAGGTGGATGATGTGTAAAATAATTGTTGGGACCAGCTTCATTTTGAATTACTAGCATGTATCCATGATAGGTAGCTTATTTTCATGGTTTTTAAGTTTAGCAAATAATAGCCTGGCAATAAAAGAAGTGTAAGATTCAATTTCAAAATCTTTTTGCTTAAACTGGTTCTCTATGACTTTGTACTCTTATTCTTTTTTATTGTCCCAAATGATAGATAATGCAATTAGAGTTTAAGATGATTGTTAGGTGTGGAACTAGACATATCATTATTATTTGACTGAAGAAGTTGATAATATTTTGTTGATTTAACTAGCTGAAATAATTGCGATTGTCAAAGATATGTAGTTGGTGATGGAAGATAGCATTGAGGCTTTCAACCTAGAGTGTCACTCGACAAAATATTGTTAGAAAATTCAATGTTGAATAAGAAGACATTTTGCAATCAAACTAATTGTTGGTTTTGAATTTTGTATATATAGTTCTGGAAATATGGCACTTCATATTTTTATCTAGATTGTTATTTGTATTCTAGAACTGTTTGGTGAGATAATGTTCTCACCTATTTGTAATGCCATTAGGCATGATTTAAATGGGTGGATTAACTCGCTTTTTCTCTCACAAAGAAAGAAAAATGTGCAAGTTTGTATGTTTTTTTTTTATATTGAAAACTGTAACAGGTCTTAATGGCTTTCTAAAATTTTTTTAATTATTAAAGTGATAGAAATAATATGACTACTTTTGTTTAATGACAACTAAAATTATGCTGCTATTAAATCAACAATGCACTCATAATGGATTTGTTTTCTCTTCTTTTTTGGTATCATTACGTACACATACTACTGGTTAAAAAATCTTTGTCCAAATCACAATAAAAAGGGGGTTAATTTCATATACGGAATTTCTCTTCACAACAAATTTTAATTATTTTGATACTCAAATTTTCTCCTATTCATTATATACCAAAAAGATTTGTTACTATGTATTCAACTAAGATTCTAGGGGCCTTGGCTATGCAAGCTGTGCCTTGCAGCCGAGGTACCTTTAGTATAGTTGATAAAGGAGTTTGTTAGGCTTGCCAATCGGGCCTAATGAGCCAGACTTTCATAAGTTCGAGCTCAACTCATCTAATTTGTAATATTTTCGGGTTTCGGGTTATGAGTTTTGGATTAATAAATATGAAACTCATACTCAAGTCACATAATATTTGGATTGTGAGCCTTATTCGAGTTTAGCCCAAGCTCACTTATTATTTCTTAATTTTTTAATATAATTACTATAACTATTAAGTTGTAAAACTAATTTAACATTTACAAGACTATTACATTAACACTAAACATGAACAAGTAATAGTTCTTAAAAAGTATATAAACCAAAAGTTTTTCAACAATATTTATATCTAATTCGTTCAAAATACATGAAAAATAGTAATGAAACATGCGGTCATAAGTCAATATATCTTCAAAAGTTGGAACTTTTTTTTAGTCTTGTGATTTGAATCCAAACATACTTGATGATTTGTATTTATAGATCAAAAAGAAATCAACCAATATTATGCCAATACAAAAATTTACTCAACCAATAAGAAAAGTTAGAAATTCAGTTATGTATTACTAATATTATTTCTCAAGAAAGCTCGTAGAAGAGTTTTCAGATGTATTTTTGTATTTTGTAATTTGTATATATTTAGTATTTAGTAATAATATGTTTGGATATATAATTATACATAATATCAAAATATAAATTATATATATATATATAGGGTTAGGCCAATATCGGGTTTGAGTTTAATGAGACCCAAACTCGGATCATATTTAATTTGGACCTAATTTTTAGGTTCAACCTCAGACCGGCTTACTAAAAGGTCGGGTTCATCGACTTTTTTTCGGGCCAAACGAACCGAGCTTTGGTTGGCTCGGCCCCATTGACAGTCTTAGAGTTTGTAACTTATGCAAGGAACTAATTAATAAGCTAAATAGTTGTGGCATGTTGCCATGTGATTGATGTTCTACCATACAATCAAATTGTATGCACACACATGTTTAGTAATTATCTACTTTAGATGTTAGAAAGTTGCAAGTTACACTTGATGTTTGATAGCTGTCTTGGATGTTTATTTATTGACATTGTCGAACGTTTAAGATTGATTTTGAATATTGTTATTTACATTATGGGTTAAAACTTGAGATGTAAAGAAATATACATATATATATATATATATCCAAATTCAGGGAGTAACATTCAATTAATTACGTTAATATATTTTCTTAACTCAACAGTAATAGCCTAGTCTACAAGCTGTATAAAAGTTATTTAATTGTCATCACCACTCTTCCTGCGTAACTTTATTTTTAATATTCACTTTTACAAAGAATTATCTAAGAAAAATGGATTGTTATATGGATTTTTGATAGCAAAAGAATACTAGTTTGCTAAAAAAAATGAGGAGAAATCCTTTTGTTATTGTTCATTAAAAAAAAAGATACTAGTACTTGGGTCTAAATGTATGAGTCAAAATCCTAATAGAACATTTCAAATTTTTCCGTTGGTGCTAAATAAAGGAAAGACAACTGTCCTAAATTCAATACTTGTCACAAATTTCCTAGGTATCAAATATTCAATCATCAAATATACAAATAGTCAATTGCATGTATATCCATTTGTAGTACCAGCCCAATTAGTAGTAGAATCATTACCATTAAGCATAATAGAAACCAAGTCTCTATCCTAAATATATTAAATTCAAGTTCTACAATATTGTCTTACGGTCACTTGTTCACAAACTTCATGTGGGGCCAATAATTTTCATTTCCCATATCATGGAAAACCGTTCTTGCTCTGATTAGCTTTACCTCCTTTTAGGGTTATTTTAGTGATAGGATCTATTGGAAGTGGACGACCCTATTTGGTCAAATACCTAATAACAAATTCCTATATTACTTCTTTTCATTATAATAAAATCTTGAGTTTTTCGATTGGTGATGAAAAAAGAGAATTCTTTGTTCAGTTTTCCACCTTACAGACAGAAAAGAGGATGCATAAGGGATAACTGTGATGGTTGTATTTTCACATATACAGCAAATAAAATGTTTGATTATGTAAACTGACTCACTCACCTAATAACCAAGATAATCACAAATTAGAAGTTGACTTATTGTGATAATTGTATTTTCACATATACAGCAAATAAAATGTTTGATTATGTAAACTGACTCACTCACCTAATAACCAAGATAATCACAAATTAGAAGTTGACTTATTGTGATAATTGTATTTTCACACATAATTATTAAACTCGACTCGATCCAGTGATTGAACCCATTTGATCGGTGGACTGGGCATCAGATTAGACCGGTCTTTAGCTTGACCGAACAAGAGATTGATTTGGTGAAACTCGGATAAACTCATTTGATCCAATGGTTCAACTGAAAATCCATTCGATTTTTCAATTGACTTAGTTTACCTTTTTTTTTTCTAAATAATTGTGGATCTTTGTTTTTTAAACAAAATGCATATATGTTGACTTTACCACTTGCTTAGTTTTTATTTGATAACTAAATATTTTTTAATAATTTTTTTTTTATTTTTTATTATACAATTAATCCTTTTTAATTGACAATATTTGATTAGTTAGAAAATTACTTTATTTTTAACAAAAATAAAATAATGAAAAAATGCTATATTTTTGAAAACAAGCGATATGAATTTTGTTTTATACTTGACTATATTATTTTTATATTTTTTAAAGTACGATAAAATAAAATTAAGTCTTCTATTAATATCTATATATTTATTATATATCTTTCTAAGTATAATAATTACTATCTAAAAGCACTTTATTATATATTTTATGTATATTAAAATTACTATTTTATATTTATAAATATTAAATTAATACTCATCGATTTAATCAGTGATTCATTAATCCAGTCTCTACGCCGGGTTCTTTATCGGATCGGGTTTAATATGTTTTCACATTTACAGCATATAAAATGTTAAATTATGTAAACTGACTCACTTACCTAAAAACCAAGATAGTGACAAATCAGAGGTGGACATAAGTCAAACCACTATTTGTTTTCCTAATTGAGTCTAGCCGAATGCAAAAAAGTAATTTCTTCAGACAATATCATAGGAACACTACTAGTCTCTCTCTCTTTTTTTTTTTCCAATTGAAGGAATACTACTAGTCTAATTTCACTTTTATTGTTTCTTCCTTATCTCACTCAAATTTGACTTTTTTAACCGTCCGAAACTAGAAATGATGACTATTTAAAAATCAAAATTGAAATTTTCTGCCGCAACTCCAAATTTTATTGAACAAGAACAGTGGACCCCACTTTGGGACACAAAGTGTGCTTCGTTCTCCTGCATTTTCTTCTTCCTTCACTCTTCCTTAAGTTCTCTTCATTTCTCCCCTTATTCTCCTCATCTTCATCTGTTATTTCTTGTTTCTCGACTCAATTCTTGTATATTAATGTAAAGGGTTACCAGAATTAGTTTCAAATTTCAAGATTTTGATACCCTTGTGAAGAGGGATTTGATTTAGGGGCCACCATTTACGCTTTAATTTGATCGCTTTAATAGTAAGTTATTTGTCAAGGCTTTATTTATTTTTTCTGCTTTCCTTTTCTTGTTTCCTATATTTTCTCTGGGATGTCTTCTACTGATTGATTTTATTGAAGCCTAAAATGGTAAGTTAAATATTTAAAAATTTAGGTTTCTGTTTCTTCCTTGATTCTTGCTTACTAGATTGCTTTTCTTACCCTTGTTGAACTTGGAATATTTAGTCAGAGATTTTGTTAACTTATCACAGCAGATCAAACCGCATATAAATTATTTCTTTCGGGTATAGAGGTTTTTCTTCTTTTCTTTTGACTTGTATTTGCTGTTGACTTCATTTTGTGGTTCAAGATTCGTCGGATTTGAGCATTAAAGAATGCGTTTCGACTCCCAATTCTCTTGTTTGGGTGCAGTTATTGTAAAGACTAAATTTGAAGTATTTTTTTTGGCTGAGATTTTAATGTTGTGGATGGTCAGTTCAAATAGTTGGGGTTTTTGGGAATCTGAATAGCTTTTTTTTCCCGTTATTTTCCCCTCTAGGAATCTGAATACTTGAGTTTTTAATGAATTGAATGCTGTTCTTTGAGTGTTAATGTGGTCAGGCTTTTGTTTGATCTGGACCAGTCTGAGGAATTTTGCATTTTAAGTTAGATTTTAATTAGTGTTTATATGGTTTCTTTATGTACTTATTTGTTTGGATGGAAACTAGGATGTTTGTTGTGGGTTGGGGCAGGATACAGGGTGGGGGTAAGGGTTGGCTGTGGCTACGGGTGAATTTTTGATGTGCTATGCTGTTTCTTGGATTTTGGTGGTTTTCTTGAGATCAATATTACAGGTTTTTCACTGATATTTGAAAATTCTGATAATTTGCTCATGTTGATTGTTTAAATATATCACCTTTTCATCCTGAATTGTTACGTTGATTGTTCTTAGTGGCAATACAGAAATTGGTTGTCCCCAAGATCATGTGCAAATTTTCTCAATTTTGTGGATCAGGTAGCAATCAATGACGTTTTGAGAAGACAGACAAATCAAATCCCTGCTTCAATGCCATCAATAAGTACAAGTGCTTCCTTGAGAAGCAGTGAAAGTGGTCTATCGAGTTGCAGTAATGTCTTACATCATTTGTTTTTTCTTCTTTGGTATCTTCTGGTTCCTCTTCCTCCTGTTTGCACATTCTTGTGCTGATTCTTATAATGGTTGTCATGCAGGTGATTTTTCTATTGATGCAAACTCAGATGGAAGGTAAGCAAAAAGTTGAATTTTGAATGAGACTAACAGAATTTCAACTAGTTTGCTTCTTCTTACATTGTCATCATTGTTATTAGGGTTTATTTGGAGGAATGTAGCACGGATAGCAGTCAAGAAGATTCTGTTTGCAGTGCAAAGAACCAATTAAATGATCATAGCTCAGAATTTCAGACTAATGGAGTTCAAAGACCCAGTACTTCTGTGAAAAATGACCTCCTGGGAATAAATGTTGTAAATGATACTTGGATTAACAGAGACATAGAAAATGCAGGAACTCTTCATGATAAGGAAGCCAGTGATCATAATTTGGAAAGATTTGGTTCAGTGATTGATGAGGGAAGTGCAAGCTTACCAGGTAATGATGAGATGGATGCCCAGTTTTGGCTACCCCCAGAGCCTGAGGATTATATTGATGATATTGAGGGTAGTGTGATCAATTATGATGAGGATGATGATGAATCTGTTGATGGTATAAATTGGGGTAGCCCAAGCTCTTTAAGCAGCTTTGGAGATGAAAGAAGTGGGGCCCACAAATTCAAAGAGGTAAAGCGAAAAGCGATGGAAGAGGTGATGAATGGGAAGTTTAAGGCCCTTGTTGATCAACTACTTAAATCTGTTGGTGTTGTCTCTTCTGCAAAAGATGGAAATAGTTGGGTAGATATCGTTACTCTTTTGTCATGGGAGGCTGCTAAATTTGTGAAGCCAGATGCTGCAGAAGGAAAAGCAATGGATCCTGATGGATATGTAAAAATCAAATGTATCTCCAGTGGTTTTCCATGTCAAAGGTGATAAGGCATCAACTATTTTCTTTCCATTGGTTTTAGTTTTAACTTTTTCAGGGTGTAATTGATCAGTTCTATTTTGTGTACTTTTTCTGATTCACTTTAATGTGCACATTTCTTCTTCCAACTCAACAAAATCTGAAAGTACTTGCTGTGTTGGAAATCCCAGAGAATAATGCAGAACAAACAGGCATCTTTTGTTTTCTGTTTTGTTGTTTATCTTCATTTGTTGCTGAAGCATCTTGAAAAATCTGTGTCAGGCTCTGAGTCATTCTAAAAATTTAAATTCTTGTCAAATTACATACATCCAAATCTAAAGCTACTTGTTCGTGTTTGTACTGAAAGACCAGCTGATTCTGAGGCCTACTTGTATTTGTATATCTTAGTTTCATGTGCTACTCTGAATGACTGCTATACTCAGTATTGACAAACTTCAAGTTTGTAACTGAATTGTTTGCCTTTATAGCCGAATGATTAAAGGGCTGGTCTTTAAAAAGCACGCTGCGCACAAACACATGCCCACAAAGTACACCAATCCTAGATTGATGTTGATTCAGGGTGCCCTTGGACTTTCATCAAATGGACTATCATCATTTGAGTCAATGCAGCAGGTATGATTGAGTTTTCTATGTTCAAAAGTTTCTGGTTATTGGCAGTTAATAATATTTAAAATTATGCTCTCAACATCAGGAGAAGGATAGTATGAGAGCCATCATTGATGTGATAGACATGTACCAACCAAATGTGGTGTTGGTAGAGAAAACTGTTTCTCGTGATATACAAGAGTCCATCTTGGCAAAAGGAATGACGCTGGTCCTTGATATGAAGCTTCATCGTCTGGAGAGGGTTGCTCGTTGCACAGGTTCACCCATCTTGTCTCCAGATTCTCTGGTTGGCCAGAAGCTTAGGCAGTGTGATTCTTTTCATTTTGAAAAGTTTGTGGAAGAACACGCTGTTATTGCCGAAACTGGCAAGAAACCGAGCAAAACATTGATGTTTCTAGAGGGATGCCCAACTCGTCTTGGATGCACGGTGAGAACGTGATGAGTTTTTTGCTATACCTTCATGGTCCTAGAACTCTTCGTCAAAGGCCTGTCATTGTTAAAAGTACCTTTCCTTCTCGTTACATTGCTGAAGTACATAAAAAGAACTGATGGATAGAAGCATTGCTTCAGAGTTTTTTGGATGATGAGTTCCACAACCCCAAAGATTGGATATTAACAAATTCTCTTTCAAAGATGTCATCAAAACTTTCCGTGCTGTTTTTGAAGCTTTCTTTTTCTGCACATGGGCATATTCGACCACATGCCACACAAAATCCCTGGTTATCTAAGTCTTCATTTTACTGCCAAAAATTATGAAATGAGAGGAATTGCAATACTAGGAGAACATAGTCTTGAAAATTGAAGTTAGAATGGTTTTTGTTCAAACAAGATATTTTAGAATGATTGGATATATTGCGATATGCATTGTCATGTTTAAGTCAACTGTTTGCTTAGTGCTGGATGGCCATGAGAAATACTAATGGTGCAAATCCACTTGTCATTGCCCAAAAGTAAATTGAAATGTTTACAAATTTCACTGTCTATGTTTTGTTTCCAAAAATTTTTGCCTGTACTAGAAGAAGATGACTCTCATATGGGAGACAGTGGTCTTAGATGCACCTTTTGGATTCTAGGAACCCAAAAGTTCTCCATGGGGTGGAAGAACTGTTGAGAAGCGTTTGAGAAACTTTGGAGTATTATATGTTAATAAGTAATTGGCTTCTCTTTCTTTGTGTTCAAGGCTGATACCCCTCAGTGCTTTGTGAGCAGAACAAACCTTTTGAAAAGTAAAATAGGGTTTTTACCTAAAAGTGCACAACAATTGATAAAGATTTTAGAAAATCCAGAACTCAGGAATTCCAAAATTTTGATACTCTTTCCTTGAGTTAAATTTTGGCCTGGATTCTTGTTGTGAAGAAAGTCATTGGTTAGTTGAGTGCTTTGGCTTATCTTTGTATTTATTTTTTTGAAGGTAGGGAAACTTCTAAAGTCCACTAAATAATGTCTTTTGAAGTAGATATAGATACATATCTAACTGTCCCTCTATTTCCTCAGTTAAATTTTCTGAAGGATATATTCTTTCTCATGAATGATTGATTTGGAAACATTATAACTAGAAATTATTTCTGACACAGAGACTCTGATATTGTCGATCAATTTCAGAGTTAGCACTGCATCTATTTCTGCTGTTCGTTGTTTGACCCAAAGTACATTCTGCACTCATCTTGGTTGCTGTGTACATCTGCCTTGTGGTCAAAAGACAAATCAGATCGTGCAATGCTTAATCATTATTATATAAACTTATTTTTTATTCTTTTGGCTAGATCTAGAGGCTTCCATTAGATTGCATAGATACCTGTTATGTTTTCACTTGTTTGTCACTAGTTAAGATAATAATTTGGCCAGTAGATTGAAAAAATTTGGTGCAGAAGTTCAATTTTGATTTGAAATCAGTAGATGTGCATGTAACATGCTAACTAGTAGCATAGAAGCTCTTAAATAAGTTTTTATTATGCAACTGATGCATAAGGAGTACTTGAATATGTAAGCTTTCCATTCTTTGGAGCAATGATGGTTGATATCAGAGATTTTTTTGTTGGGGGGGGGGGGGTGTTCAAGGGGTATGGCATTTTTATGCAAAATGCCTCTTGTGAAAGGGAACAGGAATACAGGATTCACTTCTGCTAACACTTTTATTATGAATTTTCTTCTTGTCAAACAAATGATAAGTTAAGATGCTAAATACAGTACATGTAGCAGATATTTATTGAATAATTCAATTTTTATGTAATTTTGGGTTTTGTGAAGAACTTTTTATTTAAGAAGATGTGCTGTGTTTATGCTTTCCAAAAACTGGACAATGTTTTTAGTAGTTTATGGCATGATATATGATTGCTAGTTTTAGATGAGCTTACCTTTTACTATTTTGGCAACCTTAAGTTCTGTATTCCTGACCTAGTAAATTTGATGCAGACGTTTATCTAGAATATAAAGCTGAGATCTAATTTCTAAGTTTTCAGGGATGGGATAAATTGTAGTGATAACTGATTTTGAAGTTGATTTTCAGCAATGGGATTTGAGGGATCTTTGGAATCACATCTCATAGCAGCCAGTGATCTCTCCTTTGAAGCAATAGTATCAAAGAGTATCTTAAAGCTAAAACCTCTTTCTGCTAAAAATCTCATTCCTCAGTGACTTGAATCTCCTTTATAAAGGAGATGTAGTTAATATATGCCAATGAGTTGATATAACTTGGTCCATGAATTAATATCCTGGGTTACATCATCTTGGGCTATTAAATAGAAAGAGCATAGCTCTTGAGGTTTGACTAGAATAATCCTTAGGTCTTGCAAGTTCATGTGCCAACAAAGCTTGAAGTAGCCAGATAGAACAGTAAACTACTTCTGGGCTTGGACTTGTAATTTGGTATGGGCCTTGAGTTAGAACAGCTCAGCTGCAGTATATATTTTGTTGCACCTTGAATGTTATGCCTCAGTTGGTTTTCCTGCATAATGTTTTGAAGTAGATAAAGAACATTTATGTGTCTTTCACATTCTCTTGTTGGAAGGGAGATTTGTGGTGCCTTTTTTTGTCTACTTTATCAAGTACTTTCCCAACTTTAAGATGTCTTTATAATTCCATTTTGTCCTAGATTTTGTCCCTTCTGATTTGTTTACTTGAATGATGACATTTCTATACATGTGAAAGTAAACCTTGATGTTAGATATTGTACATTTCTGTCATTATCTGCAAAATTATGATTTCCTGTTGGGAAGGATGCCGTGATTAATGGTAGTGTATTATACATGTCATTTGGTCTTTGGAATTAATAATTTCTTAATTGTTTTAGGGCCAATATTAAGTACTACGTTTGTATCCCATTTCTGATGGAAATTTTAGCTTCACCCTAGCAACTAAATGGTCATGCCTCAATTGAAAACCAGCATTGTGGTTAATTTGCTTGGTGTTTCCATCATGTTACTAGAATTAATTGTAATTGAGCATCAAAAGTCTTCAGAGTGATGCAGTGCAGTATATTGAAATATCTTAACTTGTATTTGAAATATGGGACAGATTTTGTTGATGGGAGCTGACAGTGATCAACTGAAGAGAATCAAATGTGTGGTCCGCTGTGCAGTTGTCATGGCATATCATTTTATCTTGGAGACTTACTTCCTTTTAGATCAGAGGGCAATGTTCTCAACTATTCCTATTAGTGAAGTAGTGAACCTTGCACTAACCAATCAAGAATTATCACCCCATGGAGCTAGTGATCCAACTTCCTGCAATGGTGATCCTGTTATTGATTCTGGTGCATCATCAACAATTCCCATTTCTGATGAGTTTGGTGAAGAAGTTACCCAATATTTGAATTCGGAGCCCGAAGCTAATTTGTCATTTTCATTTGAGTCATATAATCCACTCATTCTTTCGGGGCTGTCATCTCTCTCAGCTTCTTTGAAAAAAGTTATGGGGGATAATTTTCCTCTTATCTCTAGTTCAAGTCAGGCTATGTCTTCATACTTCGGCTTTGATGGGAGGACATCTGATGATCAGGGGCAAACTGATGTTCAGATTCCTATCTCACAGAAGACCATTGATCACTGTGATACAGAAATTAAGATTACTGCTGATGATGGGAAAGGACATGATCGTCCACAGTCACATCCTCTACCAATGCCTTTTGAAACACAAATGAGTAGTGGAGATTATGAAGAACATATCCCTAGTAAGGATGACATCAAAGCTGTTTTGGATTCTGAGAGTATCTTGGTTTTGATGTCAAGCCGAAATTCTTCTAGAGGGACCATGTGTGAGCATAGTCATTTTTCTCATATCAAGTTCTACAGGAATTTTGATGTTCCGCTTGGAAAGTTTTTGCACGAAAATTTACTCAATCAGGTTTTACATTTTGCCTACATCTTGTCCTTTGAAAGCTTTTATTTGTTGCTTTGTTCACATTTTATTAGTTTTTGCATGGCTGCATGATGCACTCTGGCATAGTGGTGGTAATGGGACTTGGTAGAGAGGACATTTGCTACCGTGTTTTGTTTAGAGCATCTAATTTTTTCATGGTAATTAGGTATTTGGTGGCATGTTGGTAGGGTAATTGTTTCTTTCTCAAAGCTGCAAGGATAATTGTTGAACTTTCTGAATAAAGATGTACTTTCTGTACTGTACAGTTTTGAGTATAAATTATGTTCAATTAAAAAGTTAAAAAAACAGAAGTTAGCTTTATTTTTTATGCTCAACAGAAATTGTTGGCTTTTACAGAGGCTGCAGTGCAAGACTTGTGGTCAACTACCAGAAGCCCATTTTTATTACTATGCGCATCATAATAAGCAACTCACAATTCACGTAAGACGTCTTCCTACAGATAAGATTTTGCCTGGTCAAAGTGACGGGAAACTTTGGATGTGGAGTTGCTGTGGTAAATGTGTATCCCATAATGGAAGCTCAAAATCCACGAAAAGAGTCTTGATATCAACTGCTGCTCGTGGTTTATCATTTGGAAAGTTTCTGGAGCTGAGCTTTTCAAATCCCTCCTCATTTAGAAGAAAATCTAGTTGTGGGCATTCTTTACACCAGGATTATCTCTTCTTCTTTGGGTATACTCACTTGCAGCTTATAAAGTAGTGATTCGTTTATTTCTCCTTGTCATGCTGTTGTTCAAAAACATTAAACATAAGTAGGCATACAGAAGTGATTTATTTGTTTCCTTTTATTAAATCTTTGGGCTGGCATGGAGATTTCTTTTCTTGTGTTTTCTCTGTTTCGTCTTGGCCCCTTGTAAGCTGGGGCTGTTGAGGGGACAGCATAAAACGTTTTAACTTTTCTTTCAGCTGCAAACGCTTATTATAAATGGCACTGATATTGCCAATCACAAAAATCCTAGATATGTTGCATTGGGTTGTGTTTTCATCAAAACTTCCATCATAACTTGAATTCAGATAAAAGAAAATAACGTGTCATTATTGGTCAAATGCAGATTGGGCCCTCTGGTTGCAATGTTCAAATACTCAAAAGTTGCTACTTATTCAGTATCTCTGACACCTGAGAAGCTGGAGTTTGGTAATTCAGTTAGAGGAGAGGTTCTGAAGGAAGAGTTTGAGGATGTAAGTATTTTCAAGTGTACCAGTGATTTCAGCAATGGCACATATATTTTGATCAGTTTCTGCTAACTTAAATTATGTCTGTCTTGAAAGGTGTACGAGAAAGGAATTTCGTTGTTCCTGGAGATAGAAAAATCTTTGAAGGAGGTAGGATCCCGCTATTTAGGCATGACTCTAAATCTTCAGGGAACAATTAAAGATTTCTCTGATATCGAGGACATGTTGAAGGAGGAAAGATCCCAATTTGAGGTGCGGTTATGTTTAGAGTACTACACAATTTGGTATTCAGTACCTAACAAAATCATGCAGCTCTGAATTTGCTTCAAGTGCCAATGTATCTATTAGTTATCTGATTTTATTGCTGAAGTGATTGGAATTTGGTTAAAAAGTAACTAAGCACTCGTGAATGTACTCTTTATTAAGTCTCTAAATGATTATATATAAACTATCTTATCACAACTGCATGATTATATATTAAGTCTCTTTTTAAATTTTCTATTTGTTTGTGATTTTTGGAATGCTTACCCTTTTTGTATTGTTCCATTTTGCTTAGCTTTATTCTGCAGATTTTAGGTAACTAATACCTATATTCTTTTTCTTTTTTTCGTGGACTGCTTAATCTGAAATCAGGATGACATTCGGAATGTTCTGAAGAATGGGAATGGGGATGGAGCTATTTACAAGTTTTTGAGGTTAAACAAACTACGATTGGAGCTACTGCTTGGATCCCGCATCTGGGATAGGCGTCTCAATTATCTGCTATCATCTGAACTTTCTGTGGCAGGGAGTAAAACCATTGACAGCAGAGTAGCAAAACAAATTTGCATGGAAACTTCTCAAGCTAAAGCTGATGGCCTAGACATAACTATAGAGGATCCTGAAAATGTTTCGAACATCATCCCTAGTCTTGAAATCAAGCTTGTTACATCTGAAGAAGCAAACTCTTTTCAAAAGGAAGTTCCTATTGAGGGACTAGTTCAAGGAACTATTGGAAATGGAGCACTTCAAGATTCTTTAAATAAGCCAGATATTTTTGATGGCTCTCATGATGGTGATGACAATCTACAAGACAATATCCCAAAGTTTGTTCAAGTGCAAGAAGATAAAGTAGTACCAATTACAACTGATGTTGAGGGTTCTGTTCTTGATTCAAACAGTTGTCAGACTGTAAGATCTCATTTTAGGTCGTCTTTTAACATAGAAAATGAAAAGGGCTGGATGTGGGCTCCATTTAGAGAAATTCAACATGAATACATGAATGATCTCTGGAGAGGTTACTTCCCAAAATTTGATTCTGTATCTAGCTTTGCTCAAGACACTACAGGTTATAAACTGATAAATGATGAGGGGTCGAAACTTCAAATTCCTCTTGGTTTGGACGACTATGTTGTCTCAGATTATGAAGATGAATTTTCAAGCATAATTGCTTGTGCTCTAGCCTTGTTGAAGGACCTACCTATTGTGAGTCAGGAACTTGATGAGGATTTCAGGAAAGGAAAAGGGATGATGACGTCGAATGATAATTCACAGAGCCTAACACGAATATTTTCTCTTGCCTCCCCTCATTGGTCTTCAACTGGTTATTTGGATGCAGATGGAATTTATTCTTCAACTAGCATATCATCAGAAGAGTCGCACTTCTCAAGCTTTGATAGTCTGGATTTATTGGACTCTGTGGTGTCTTTGGCAGCTGTTCATCCAGAAGTCTCTTTGGGCATTGGAAAAGTTCCGGGAAAGCGAAAATACTCTGTGATATGCTTATATTCCAGCCAATTTCGCCATCTGCGAAATCGATGTTGTCCATCTGAAATTGATTATATTGCTTCCCTAAGTCGTTGCAGGAACTGGGATGCCAAAGGTGGGAAGAGTAAATCTTTCTTTGCTAAAACTCTAGATGATAGGTTCATCATAAAAGAAATTAAGAGGACCGAGTTTGAAGCTTTCTTGAAGTTTGCTTCAAATTACTTCGAGTATATGAATGAATGCTATGAACTTGGGAACCAGACCTGCCTTGCAAAAATTCTTGGCATTTACCAGGTTGGTCTGTTTACATCATCTTGTATAGCCAGCAAAATGAGGTGAAGTTTTTCTTTTCTCTAATGTCATAATGAATTTTTTTGCAATGCAGGTAACCATTAGACAAACAAAAAATGGGAAAGAGACAAGACATGATCTAATGGTGATGGAGAACCTTTCTTTTGGTCGAAATATCATACGCCAATACGATCTTAAAGGCGCCTTGCATGCTCGATTTAATTCAACAGGAAATGCTGATGATGTTCTTTTGGACCAAAACTTTGTTAATGACATGAATGTTTCTCCTCTCTATGTTAGTAGGAAATCAAAGCGAATTCTGCAACGGGCTGTCTGGAATGACACTAATTTCCTCCAGGTGAGTTTGTATAATTTCTTCCGGTAATCTATGCTACTACATGCTGACCTGTATGTCAGATTATTTTACTCTTTCAACTGCCCAGGTGTCATGCATGATGCAGTGTTTAGCTGCTGATTACTTGTCTTTGCTTTTTCCTTTCAGTCTATCAATGTTATGGATTATTCTTTGCTAGTGGGAGTGGATGCTCAGAAACGTGAATTGGTGTGTGGGATCATTGATTATCTGAGGCAATACACCTGGGACAAACAACTTGAGAATTGGGTCAAGTCATCCCTTGTCCCCAAGAACCAGCAGCCAACTATCATCTCTCCCAAAGAGTACAAAAAGCGATTCAGAAAGTTTATCGATACGCATTTCCTCAGTGTTCCTGACCATTGGTGCTCTCAGAGATCCTCAAATCCTTGCAGACTTTGTGGGATGGGAGATGATGATGATTGTTTGCACTCAAATTCTCAAGAGCTAGGGGAGAACAATGATAAGATCTGCCACTTTGAACAGCAAGGCGAACAAGATGGTTCTTCTCATGGTAAATCTCAAGAGGGGAAAGAAAATGGTAATGTTTCGTAATTTTTGGAGTTGAATCATTCTTTTATACTAAACAGACGTTGTACATACTTTACCATCTCAGTAAATATAATCCCCTGCAATTTTTTCTGCAAATTTTGGGGATTCTCTCGATATTACAGATCAGCCTTATAGTGGTTGCATGCAAAATTTTTGCAAGATTGTTGAGTAATTGTAAAAGGTGTGTGGTGGTCTGAATGGGTCTAGTATTATTTGGAATTAATCCGAATTAATCACTAATATTACTTGTCCCAACCTGCTCTTGGTGCCACAAGTCCTATTGAACGGGCAAGAAAAGAGCTTTGCCTTTTTTGTTTGATTGGAAAAGTGCAAATTCAATATGTTAGCTTTTGCACCTTTTTTTGGAGGATAATTTCAGAAACCTCCCCTTAGGTTTCCGACAATTTCACTTAGCACTCTTGATGTTTCAAAAATTATATCCACCTATCTTGTTCATGTAAAATGACAACTTACCTCCCTTGTTCACTTAAAATGACAATACTAGGTTTAACATTCTAATGAAATTCTTTCATTTGTCACTTTGCTATGCTTATATATAGGATGGGTTTTATATTTATATTTTTTCTATTTCCCTTCTTATCCATGACTCTTATATTTTGTTAGCAAAATCATAGTACTATTAGTTCCTATGGCTCCATCATGATAAAATGTCAAACTAGTAATATTGTTTTGATAACTTTGAATATCGTCTAATTCTTTTGTAGTTTTTGTTTGTTTATGTATTTGTTTTTCGCTAGCCAAATTAACAATAACTGAAAAATAAAAGGTCCAAAATCACTATTAAATTTTGGTGGTTCCATCACTCAACTAATCCACAAACATTAAAAAAAAATTATGGTGACACTTTCTTCTCCATCTTAAAAGAATTTCTATCTCCAATAAAGCACAATTAAAAGTAACCTATTTTAATGAGATTTATCGTTGTAATTGACTATCAAATAACAAATATGGGCATAAAAAATTTGATACTCATTCCTTTGTAATTGTGCTAAATTGCTGTGCCATTGTTTAGAAGAATAAATTAAACTTTATGAAATAGGGGCATTTTAGGGTATTCATTAAAATTTTGATCCTATTTTTAGGTTTGGTTATTAAAAGTGGCAAATTAGGGGAGGTAAGTATAATTTTTAAAAATTTTAGGCAGCTTAGTGAAATTTCTAGAAACTTCAGGGAAGATTACTGAAATTATCCCCTTTTTTTGGGACTTTTTCAGCTTCCCATTATTGTTTGTGCTGGCAGGTTTACAAGAAATTATGCATTTTGATTTCGGTATTTAGATATTTTGATATGTGAATTAACTGATAACAATTGTTAAAAGGTTCTAGAGATGTGGTAAAGCTTGACGATGTTTTTGGTACTTGATGAACAATTGCGTAGGGGTTTCAATTGTTGTTTCAAACCAAAATGAGATATCTAAGCCGAATCCCATTTTATTGTGGCGCTGACTATCCAACAATAAGAACGTGCCTGAAAGGCGGAATAGCACAATAGCTTCGTCAATGAGGCCTTGGTGTGCCGGTCAGCATTGAAGATGAAATTAATTCGCCAATGATATAGGTTACCTAACGAGAGCTGGTCAAAGGTTGAGGCCCAAGGATGGTAACTGTTCCACCAAGCACTGGTTAGAGTTTTAATTCATTGTAGCATGTTGTATTGATCCCTATCTAAGTGAGTCATATGAGATCTTTATTTTTTATTTTTTAAAAAGAATAACTTCAAACTAATGGTGTATTTCACTGGAAAAACATGAAGAAAGCTAATATTGGTTGAATCAGTACTTGAAAATCTCAATTTAAACTTACTACTAGTTGGTAAACATGGCCACGATTCTAGAACCGTCAGTTTTGATTTAAAATCTGATGGTTCTTATGTTTTTGAAAAGTGAAATCTAAACCGATCCTTATAAAGATAGTTACAGCTACAATTCTTGAACCTATGGTTCCGGTTTTGGTTTCTTTTGATCATGGTACAACCTTTTTAGTTAAGTTTAAATACTTATTGTTATAAAATTGATTTTAAGAAAATATGACAATGAATATAAAAAAAAAGAACTTTGTTGCTTTATCATGTGCAAGGAAAAAAAAAATGATGCAAATTTTATGAAAAATATCTCATTGTTAATAAGATTGTCTGGAATTTAGATTAGTCATAAAGTATAGACTTACTAATGGAATGAGACAATGGGTTGTTGGATTAGGATTGAAGCTGCTGTTATTAAATGCTAACTATTGATATTAAATTCTAAATTGGTCAAATAAGTTTAGATAACAAATGTTTTTTTAGACGGTCTGAATGAGTTGTAAATTACTAGTCCGGTTTCGGTTCAAAATTTTGGTGATTCTAAATCTAAATCTTTAGTCACGGTTATGATTTTGATTCCACTTTCTAAAATCTGATTCCCGTTCTAGTTCAACAAACCATTTGACCTATTCCAATCCGATTATAGTTCAAACCTAAACCGTGGCTGCCCTTACTAGTTAAGATTGGATTAAACTTAGTCACTCCACAAAGTAAAGGTTTTTGAAGGTCAAGTTTACCCAAAATATTAATGTTTCAATTGAAATTCTTTGAATTTGGTTTCAAGATCACATATTAGTGACTTATGACATGGATGATGACATAGATGCAGAGATTTTCAAACTCCTAATTATTACATTTGATTTAGCAAAAAGATGAAAAAAGAAAGTCATCCTGTACAATTTCCGGAAAAGCAATAAACATGCATACTTGATGTTGTGAAGCAAAAGTCTCTTGGTGAATTTTAATTTTTTAAATTGTGTACGAAATTGAACATGACAGAGAGGAGGAGACAAAAGTAGGTCGAGTTTCTGAGTTGTTAACATCTAATTCCCATGAAAATTGCAAAACTTCAAAAAAAAATTTCACGTTCTTTATTTCTTACTAAACAATGAATTTTAATCAAAATACGTACAAGAAAGATGAACACAAATTGGATTACCTCAACCATTAGTTAATCCTCGTGGAAAGAAATCCAATGTGAATATTTAGATGACTCTTGCAATGAGTGCCAAAGTCCTAGAACGAAGAAAACAGCACTTTATATAGCTCATCAATACACATCATAAGAGTAAACAGAAATTTTTGACAAAAAAAAAGAAATAAAGAGAAATGGTAATGTTACATACCCAAATAATGTTCATGGCTGTTCCCTCTTGTCAGAAGCAAAGATAGATGATGGATTTTTTAGGAACTGGGAGAGAGGAGGAGAGGTTGAAGGGAAGGGCTTGGAGAAGGAAAAGTACTATTTCTTGGCTCCTTCTATTGAGGTGTTCTTATCAGCAATGGAAGAGAGACATTTTCGGATCAAGAATTCCGAAGTTTGGCTTACATTTGAAGGTAAATACGTTACATTATATCTGTAAACATCTGTCACTTTACTTTCAAATCTGCAATGCAAGGTGAGTTGGATTTGATTCACCTTTAAACGTGTTTCTCGCGGCTTCACTTGAAAAGTTCAACGGCCCGTGAATTTTATATGGCCACGTTAGTAACAGAGTTGATATTATCTGGACTCCCAAATCCGAATAGGTAAACATGGAGTAGTTTGACTGGCCTAGTTAACTATTAGGTATCAATGCATAGTTGTTCACCAACAGGGACTGAATCAATGTGGAATCAGACGGATACACTACACATCTGTATGAATTTGAGAAAAACACATATTGTAACAAATGATGAAAAGTAAGATTTGAACCCTTGATCACCCACCACATCAAGATATAAAATCTTTGGTGATGGCTAACAGTCCAAATGACTGTTCTGTTGGTTGTAAAAATTACCGATTGAACCCCAAATTTTTAATGATTTTGTATAATATATGTACCTATAATATTCTATATTGTTGATGTTAATAACTACAATTAACTAATTTATTTCAAAATTATGTTGTAAAGTCTAGAAATTCAAGTCTTTGTTTTGGCTCCATATGTTACAAAGGGGAAGGGGAAAAGTAGGGGTGGGTAAAAATGCCTGCTAATTTGAAAATTTGTGATATTTGACTTGATTCGATTCGAAAAATAGGGTACTCGATTTGTGTTATTTGACCGAGTCAAAGGAGGCAGATATCCACTTATATACGACGGGAAAGGGGATAGGATCATAGGATTAACAACTCGCGGGTATCCGACCTGTTTTGCATATATATATTTTTTATTTTTTCATTTTTATACACATATTACAAAATAATATTTTAAGGGCTTACTAAATAATTTCATCTAACAAATTGCACTACAAATATGAGAAATTATAGTTTGTTTAGAAGTATTTATTCGTAGAGTTCATTATCTTATGTTCTTTAGGAAATAGGTTAATTGATGTGGAATATGTATTAAAGAAAGGGTACTACTTATTTCAAAATTTCATTGATTTTAAATTCTTTTAATTTTTTCCTTTTTCTTATAGTATTGTCTTTACATGTTTGTTCCTCAGCATGAGGTTTTTTTTTTTCAAAATCTATGTTGAGTCTTAGATGAATATATAAAATACAAATTAAATTCCTATAAATTATTTAAAAAATTAAATAATAAGCGGGGTGGGGTGGGTACCTATTGACCCAACCCTCCTCTTGCAATATCTGATAACTAGACACCGACTGAATTGCATGGTAGATAAGGGTCAGAAAATGGCTAATCTATAAAATACGAATCAAGTTAGCCAAATGGTGCACGAGACAGGTACTCGACCTGTATCACCTTAGGAGAAAGGGCAGGACTTGAGAGTTTTTGTATACATATGTTGTAGAGCCATAAATTCGAGTTTTTAAATCTCAACCTATACATTAGAACACTTGAGTTAAATTGTTAAATATATGTGACTCATCAAGTTTTTGGTTATTGAGTAAGATTTCTTTCTTTCTTTTATCTTAGAAGTATTCTAATACAATTTATTTTCTCCAAAACAGTCATATGTGTTGAGTAGAATGACCATAGTAGGTGATTTTTTTTTTAATGAATTGGTTAGTTCAGGTGCTAAATCTAACCCAACAATACCAAAAACATAGTTAAACTTAAGTTACATCATAATAATTTTTAATGAATTGCTTTTTCTTGTAATTCTTGTATTGTTAGATTTTTTTTTTGTTGGGTAAATTAATTATTTTTTAAAAGATACGTTGACATCCTAGATGCAACTAAATTGATACTACGCCCATTGGACAGTCTCTCCCGTGTGAGAGTTCAAAATTTTCTCTCTCTTGAGAA